TTGGAAGTATGAGCAAATTTCGGGTTCGGTTGATGACGACAACTTGTGCAGCATAGTCACACTTACGTAGCCGAGATTATACGCTTAGTCGTCTTCAGCGTGGTTAAATCACCTTTAAAAGGCAAATCGATATTTACTTTCTTCCTAACTGCCGTGTGCACCAAGTCCTTTGGCCTTCGCATTTGACTGTGTGTCTCGATAAATCTTCGACGGTAGCCGTTCGCCATAAGTGTTGCTGTACTTAACACTAGCACATCGTCCAGACGGTTGACTAACTAGAGTCTTTACAAGTGCCGGTCGGTTGTACCTCACTAGCGTGCAGTTGGTGAAGTGCAAATATTGACCGGACCAAGTGGATTTTCAGTAAACGGACTTCTTACTAGATCCATCACCCCAGCGACTGATGTGAATATCCAGATATGGTAGACAATTGTTCCGATCTACTTAGCCTTCGCACCGCTGAGGTCCTCTATCAATTGTTCGAACTGCTGCTTCGACGAACAAAAGGTCAAAATATCATCAGCAAATCGTTTGTAGTGGGGTACCTGGGCTATTTTCCTATATATGCTTCTTTCTCATCAGCATTAAGAAATCAGCACGAACCGGACTGATTGGACTGTCCATTGCTACCTCATTAACTTGATGGTACGGTGTGTTCTGGAAATGAAAGTCCACATTCTCCGTGCACAATAATAGAGATTCTCTCGATAATTCATTTCGGATTGGTAACGAACAGCCAGAGTGTTCGGCTAATTCACACACGTAGTCAACCGTCTGATGTAGCAGAACGTTTGCGAATAAGGATTCTACATCCAAGCAACACATGCTTTTGTCTGTCAGGATGCTTTCACTCAACTCACCGATGACCTGAGATGAGCCTTTAAGACTGTACGGATTGACACGTGTTACGCGTGCCCGCGCCGAGCGTTATTCACAGTTGCTGGACAGCGCTGGAAGAAGCGGCGCGGTGAACAACCTACGACTTGAAAAAAAACGACAGGAAAAACTGACGAAACATTTTGATTCGGTGGGGTGTTCTCGTCTCCTTGACTGGGATATCAGCGACAGGGCGTCGTTGGATGGTGACCCTGGAACTCATGGCTCAAGACCAACTTCAGTGGCGCACGTTTATCTGCGTGTTGCGGTGATTTCCTTTCTCTTCCCTAATAAAATAAACAATTAATGAAAAACCCAAAAATCCATGGGTGAAAAACTGGACAAAAAGAAGCGCATCTTTTTCTCTTATTATTACCCCGTAGTATTATTCCGTCATGATTCCGACGACAACATATCGGTACCGCAGGTTGCAATATATATATATATATATATATATATATATATATATATATATATATATATATATGTATATTCACTATTCCACAGTGCTACCCCTTCGCTTCATACTATCAAAAGTATCACAGTCTATCACGCAATGAAGGAAAAGCAATTCCTAATGACGAACTATGCGTCTTTCGACGTTGGTTATATCCCCCACTTTCTTTCATTCGCATTTACTCGCATCGTTGAGTATTATGTACAACTCATCATATTCGGCTCTGCTCATGTTCATCATCCAGAATCTTTACCTGGTTTTATTGTTATTACGCCCTTCGCTCGTAGTTCACGTGTGACCTGAAAATGTCTAGCTGTGATATCACAATTTTCACTAATTGGCACCGTTTTAATCTCGTAAGCGATATCGGATAACTTCTTTCTGTATCCAATAAGCTTATCAGAGCTGTTTTTTGTAACTCCTTAAACTGGTCGAAAAAGTTCCTACCTTGGACTTTATAAACATCCCGTTCAACTTTCCATGCGGGATGTTGTAATCAGGCCCAAATGATAATGCTTCTACTTTCAACACGTCAAGTTGTACGTTTCATAAGCTCATCACATACTTACTTGGATCACGAACAATTGGCTCATCCTCCTTCTGATTGTTCGTCAGCGAATTTTCTAGGCGCGTAGACCGATTTCGCTTCTTGCGATCAAGAGTGGATTTACAAAAGTTAATTAAAACAATCTGGCAACACAGAGACATGTCCTCGACCACGGGTGGTAAACGTGCGAGAGTTTCTAATAGTTCAGAAAGTCTAGTTTGGGCCGTCTCCAGGTAAGCGGACGCCACACGTCTGACGTTAGTCCTAGTGGGCTTAACTTTGTTCCTACGCAATAATAAGAAAACTGATCTAGGATAGCGACTCACCAGATTACATTTCGACAGAAAGATATCTCAACGCATAAGCACACCATCTTGCACTTCAGGCTAACTATGCGGTGAAGCAATCAAACTAATTCAGTTGGAATTCTTTGTTTGAGAAATGTTTGGCCGTTCAAAGATTTGTAAAGCACAGTAAGACTGCGAAGGCTGGTAGATGCATGCATTTCGTGTTGTGTCCTCAGCACCATTACCGATGACCGATATGCATTCATATAGCTAACGTTGGATGCGGCCAGATAAGCGGAACTTATGATGGAAGTTCAACCCCTGCCTTTAGCTACTAGTCCCAATCGCAACCTGAACTTACTGCGGCGGCGTAAATCCTCCCTACTAAAAACATTGAGGGACTTTACTGAGATGTTCTTTTTTCTTTTCTAAGCTCTCTTTAGTCTACGCAGCCGCTTCAGGTGGAGAGAAGAGAACCTGCCCCCACGTATGAACAGAGTTTCGCATGGATAGCAAATGTCAAACCAGAGGTTCAGGTAGCTTGTCAACTGATAGCAATACGTGAATATATCAGATTCGAAAATAAACTGAAGTCCGTAGATGATACCATTTATCGTAATCGGTTGATATTCTGTGCGGAACATTGCCGTCACTAGAACCTGCGATCGTTGAAACGAGCAGCCTCCTTATGGTTTGTCTCAGAGTAGACTACAAGACATGGTTTATCTGTGGAGTTATCGGAGCTGCCAAGCGGCGCCCTACTATACAGTAGGAACAACTTTACGTTGTCCATAGATTCCAGGTCCAGAGTCGCATTGGATCTGGGGAGGCTGTTTACGATGTTCTGCAGCCCAAGACTGGTGCAAAAAGTGATGTCCAATCAGTTAAAATCAATAACAAAATCTGTGGGGAACTATCGATGTGTTTGATGACAGCTGCAGTAAACTTATCCAAAAATGCCTCCACTTCGTTTTTCGGGCACGTGCTCTACCCACTGATACCTCTTGACCTGCTTCTCAAAACTAAGCAACTGATGCGTTGCGGAGACTTTCGTAAATGTTCACTAGGGCATTGGTGCAAATGATTTCTAAGCCACCACGGCTATGGTAGACGAAATGGCTGTCGGCTCAATGACAGTTGAACCCTTATACCGATACAGGTGGGTCATTCACTTCTTTGTGAAACACGGTCACTTGTAGCAAAATGATATCCAGCTGAGCCATCTAAGGAGTTGATGGCCCTCGTAAATTCACCCATTTTCCCAAATGCTAACGGATCTTTGCGATAAAATGGGTATGCTCATGCTCCTCATATTTTTCTTCCGAAGAGCAACCTTCCTCCGAGCGCAGTGTTTTCCGGCGCAATTATTACCCTTCTTGTGAGAAAATTTTCTGTTTGTTTCTTGTAACGTGGCTGTAAGCAAAGGTCTAGGTTGTATGCGCGGAAACACAGTGATTTCAAAATATCGCGCGTGTGAGCCAATATGAAAAAATGTGAGAGCACGATTGTTTCCATAAAACCAAAAGCTGTATATGGTATACTATGCGCAGGTGAATCGTTACGCAGGTCTTGTCAACAACGTGTTTTCAACGTTTGGACAGGGTATTATCAGCACTGTCATCTCTGGATAAGTAACTAAGTGCATGGTTTATTCTCGAAGTACACTAGGCACGTATAAACAGGCATGATCAGTGATAAGTGAACAAATAGTTTTTTCTTGATTTCACTCATCCTTGGTGCCTCTCCATTACGTCCTTAATATGTGTCTGGTTGCATTTATCCGAGTACCCACCCATTTCCTCTTAGGGCCTCGCTGATCTTCTGCAATCTCTCAGTAACCGTATCCGGCGCTGAAAGCGGTGGAGTGAACTTGATTCCGTTCGTACTTTAGTGAGACCGCACTGTAAACGTTGCTCTACTACCCAGTCCAAGTGTGTTTTCTATACAGCTTTCTGCTGTACGATGCGTTGGTCTTTGATAACAACACGTCCAGAAACACTAGTTAGCCTCTTCACTCTTGCTGACCGGTGAAATGCAGATTCTTATGCACGTCGTTAGACGCTTTTGACAGCTTCACAACCTGTTTTGGATTTTCGGAGTATAAAGGTCTCAGTTACGTAACATTTCAACTTCGCTGTTGTGCGGTCTTAGTGAGCCATGCTCTAATTTTGTCATAAAGATATCCACCAGCACGAGCCCCAACGGAGGCTTCATGACAACTCTATCAATCCTCCAATATATCTCCTCGTTGATACACAATAATTGTCCATCACATAGGTTTTGCTCCCCACTTTGGTCACTCATTTTATTTGCATGTCTATCTGGTGTCAGTTAAGCAACATTTGATCCGAGTGATCAATGGCACAAATCTGTCCAGTAATCATGTTTGTTAGTGGTGATAGGCTTTCTTTCTTTGTATTTCATTCTACAAGACACTGTTTGTTTGATTTACTCGCGATTCCGAATTATGTTCAGTATGTTCTTCTGTTATATGTGTCGGAGGTTTCCATCGCAAATTTCGTTACCTTCACTCATTGTGCCGATTAGCATATCGCTGTTTTTATTCCTATTATTAGAGAGGAATTTATTCGATTCTACAGAGTGGACCTCAAGCGCTCCCATGCCATTAGATGTTTTAGTTCATTTGTTGTGCGTCATTTTCTCGTTTTCATCTGAATACATAACCACCGCCTTGATCAACATGTCATTCGTTACCATCCGCATGGTTTTTTGAGTTGTATCGCGTTCACATTTTAGAAATGCACTTCGCACCATTGCATCCACATACTTAAAAAAACTATATCTTACTTCCCCAACCTGGTCCTTCACATAGGTCTCTGAAGAGTTCGGTTGTCGCCTCGGGCAAGAAGTCGGCTATACTATACGTTTCGAAGATTGCACAGCTCCAGAGACCAAAATCAAGTACATGACAGATGGTATGATGCTCCGCGAATGCCTCATTGATCCTGATCTTCGCCAATACTCTGTCATCATGTTGGACGAGGCGCATGAAAGGACGATACATACTGATGTGCTGTTCGGTCTTCTAAAAAAGGCTATTCAGAAACGAGATGACATGAAGCTCATCGTCACTTCCGCCACACTGGACTCTGTTAAGTTCTCCCAGTACTTCTTTGAAGCGGTAAGTGTTTGCTTTAACCTTCCCCAGTCCGAATTCCCTATGGTATTGCTACATGCACCGGCATGATCGCAAGGACCAGCATCTTGTTTCTCGTCTATGGCGTGTCATGGTTTGGCCTTGACTTGAGAGCACCGAGTGGTTGGATGGAATCGCATCTAGACAGTTCGACTGCATCGGAGCTATGCCGATGCCCAATTCATGTGCATCGCTTCCAACATATTGATCATTCGCTTAACGATTGGGGTATTTAGCACCCCTTAGGTGATCAGACTCCCATGTATAGTCACAGTGGTATCGGTGGTTTGCTACCAACTACATTTCCGCCATTTCGATAACCACCAGTGGATGTCCCCATTGAAAGATCTCAGTTGGGGACGTGCTCGACCATGTAGCACATGCAATATCAGATGAGCAGTACGATCAGTTATCACTTCACCACATCGTTGCTGCAGTGTTGTTCACTTTTATGTTTGTTTGCATCGCCGTTTTATTTACTTTTTTGAGTTTGAGCCCGTTTTGTCCATCTCTCGGCCTACTTTTTTGCACACTCTCCTTATGATCATAGATGTCACCACGGTTGGCCTGTTCTTCAGGGTTGTTACACTTAAGTACACCCTGAGATCTCAGTTCAATTTCCAATACTCTGTCTCGCTGCATGCAGATGTCTTCCGTCAGATATACAACCTATCCGACAGTCGCCAGCATGTAATGTGAACAGTCCCTTTGTATTAACCGGATTCATACGAATAGACTTATGGTTTATCATATTGAACCGAGTCTCATCTAGTTGTGGCAACCTACAGACGTATTTTAAGTTGTTCTCACATGAGTAACTATTTCTCTTAACTCTCTGTATCCTCTTATACTTTATGATGTAGCCGATTTTCACAATCCCCGGCCGAACGTATCCCGTAGAGATCCTTTATAGTTTGGAGCCCGAAAACGATTACTTGGACGCTGCATTAAATACCGTTATGCAAATCCATCTGACGGAACCACCAGGTGAGTACACAAACTGGTTTTGGCACGCATTCTTTTCTCCTCCGTTCTTCCCGCGTAGTGCCCTGAGCGAACTTAAACTCACCTGCTGGTTTGTTTTCCTTTGTTATTCCCTCATCTGTGTGTCTTATCATTTGGGTCCGCTTTTAAGGTTCGCACATATGTATTGCTATTTTTGTTTTCGAAATGCATCCGACCGTCATGCATTTGCTTGACAACCCGTGGTGAATCATTACACCTTTTGGAATACACTAATTCTGAGTTCGAGTGCGTCTTCCTCTACAGACAAGCCGAATGTGCAGTGTGAGCCACGCATTTCTGGCTTATTGCGCAAGCTTAGTGTGGACCTCCATCTAGGCGACCAACTCACCAAATTAAGTGCACACCCATCCCCCTAGCAGGTGGTTTTAGACAGATTACAGCACATCACTGCACGCTTCCGTATGCGCTTCGCATTTTCGAAGCATAAGGCACTTCTGTCCTTTCAGGCCGAAACAGCATCATTAATCGTCCGCGGTCTGTTGTCAGACGAACACTGTGGACCCAACGTCTATATTTCGTGTGATGTACGCGTCAAACAGCACATCGGCGATACACTGAAGCGGTCGCGACCAAACAGCTTGACCCTGGTAGTAAGCCAGTCGACAGATGGTGAACTAATTGAGTGTTTGTCACAGCAGTTTCCGAATCACATAGCCCTCCCCATGCCCGGACTGTTGGGTCTAGTCAGTAGTGCGTAGCCATCGGGACCCGAACTTATGACCATTAGCAGCTTGAACCGGCAGTCAGCAACTTATGCCACTGTTTCACGAGAGTCAGCGGCGAATTGTCATGATTTACGAGCTAACTGCAATCCAGCACGTCTTGTCCTCCGCTTTCATGCATGCTGTGAACGTTGCAGAGGACAGGTTTGGCCCCGACGTCCACTAACAAATCGTAGCTATGTATGAGAACATCTGGAGACTTTTAGGGCGGATCTTTTGATAAACTCCTGAGTAAGGGATTTTTGATGCAGTCCATTGAGAATTCATCGCAGCGGCTTCTAAATCAATGGTGTATCGATGAGATTGTGTGTGCGGGTGAAGATGGAGGTGTGCTTGTGTACGTATGCGTATTGGTAAATCTGCTATTTCAACTGCGCTGACTTTTTATAATGCCATATTCGCACTTGACGATGCGCAGAGAAACTCATCCGGTGTTAATTCTTGCATACTTTGGTGTTAACATTTTTGCTGAGAACACTAGTTTTCGCAACCAACTGGTAGCCATCCAGTGGGGTTGATTGGTCTGACCGCCAAGGCAGATGCAACAGTTCTACTTGTTTAAACGCTAATGAGTTAACCGCACACATCAGTAAGGCGCCTTATGCTTTTCAAATCTGCCAACCATCTATGGGATCTTCAGATCAAAGCGTAGTCTACATTGCTTGGGCGTGTGTGGAACAAAGAAATAACTACTGTATGCACTAAGACGCCGATCATGCTTTCTTTTCGTTGCTTACGCTTCGTTAGCCGTATTTACTCAAACCAACATGAGAGTTGCTGCACTGTAGTTGTTAGCGTTTGTCACCGTGGTTTTGAGTTCGAACAGTTTACATTAGGGATAGGTCGGATTTTCAAATACTTGTCGACTACCTACCTCTGCTGCATCCATCTTACTCTGAAGCGTAAAATTTACAATGCGGCTGTACGTTCGACTCTACTGCACGCTTGTGTGATCTAGCTCACCAAGTCGACAAACTAAAGAGGTTAGTTACATTCGACTACCGGTACCTTCACAGTTTGTCTCAAATCTGGTGGGAACACCGTGTGAGCAATGAGCGTGCTCGACGCCTTGTTTATGGCTCAGAAGAAGAAGCAAACCGCTCAGCACCGTTATTTCACGAACCAGGCTCCGATGGCTTGGCCACGTGTTGCGCATGCCAGCACACCGACTCCCGCGAGGTGCGTTGTTTGTGCGCCGGGGTGCGGATGGAAGGAGAGTAAGGGTGGCCAAGCGACGACTTATTCAAGAAGAATGAAGGTCCTTACTTCGAAGTTGGCCTCGGTTGGAGTTTCTCGGTTCCCCGAAGAAGAACGATGAACACGTTTGGCTGGATACGCTTGCTGACATGGCTAGGAGCCGAGTTTGATAGCATTTTGTTGTGTTTCTTCTCCCTCCCCCTCCCGTTTAGCCTCCCTTCTAACCACCCTCTCATTTATTAGGAATAATATAACTCCTTTTGCCGCACAATAGCCGATTGGTAGCTCTCCAGAACGACTTCCATGCGTTACTTGTGGCTCAGCTGGCGTGCCTCTGTTACGTGTTTCTTCTTATGTATTGCGTCACAATAGTTGACCTGCTTCCCATCTTTAGCTGACGTATATCATGAATGATAAAGCCATGCCAATTCGATAATTGATTACCATATGAATGACTAGCACGAAAGATTGATCGCATAACTTAGTGGAGTCGACGATTCACGCCGTCTTCCTCGTCGGAGACACAACATAGACTAAACCAGTTGCACACTCTTTCTACCCATGGCACTGACATTCGTTTTGTTATTTCTAGCCGTTACACTTCCGACCTAACGGTTCTATTCATTTCTTCTTCCCCTTCTTCAGTTTTACTTGCATTCCTCCTCCCCATTCGTATTCCCTTTCAAGTACGCTTATGCTTGGTGCATGTCATTTCGATATAGGGATCGTAGTCGACTAACTAAACAGAATCGTATGATTGGCGTATGATCGTCACTTTTTGGTCATCCCTTGACACATTTCCTGCGGTTTGGTATTTTCTGGTCTTTTTTAGTCATACTACTCGAATGTCGTCGGGCACGGAGTTGAATGAAAAAATTTTCCTAGGTGTTCCTTCATTGACCTCGTATTGATGCGTTTATCCAGAGAATTGTCTTCTTGTCTTCTTACATTTAGCTTCCCTCATATTCTTGTCAGCTAGAGACAATTCGTGGTTCAAGACGACTAGGTGGTGATACCGATATGCCGCTTTCATTTCAGTTTTCTCTTACTCTTGACAACTTTCCAGTCCTCGTGAGAGCTAGCTTATTCGGAGCCACGTTGGCTTACGCTCTACTCTTGACTACATTGACCACTCGGCCACCGACCGAGTGGTTTGCACGTTTGCTTTGCAACCACAAGGTCACCGGTTTGAATCCGCTTAGAGGTGGGCGTCCTCGCGGTAGACTCAGCCCGCGCGCGACTGGTGATGGTCGCGCAGCAGCGAAGCGCCGTTACGGCGTACAGCTGACGCATTGTTATTGTTTTATTATAATATTTATTTAGGCATTATTTACATGTCACGCATGACTTAGTGGCACACGTTGCTGGCATCCGGAAGTCATGGTGTTGGAACCCAGCAGAAGTCCGAGGAAGGCGCCACTGACGAAACCTAACAAGTCGAGACGGCCGTCTAGTGTTTTTCCAGACGTGTGGAAGCCTGTCTGACTGAAATGTGACTCCTATGGACTACGTATTATAGTTGTTTTCCTCAACCACAAAATCACCTTCGCTTGTGTGTATCGTTCCAGCTTTTGGTAAAGTCTATTGATGAAGGACAGGCTAGGGAAACTCCTTTCCATTCTCACTTCCGAGACCGGATTAAAGTCTACAGGAGGCTGTCTTCTAACTTCATTACGACAATAGGTTCGCCACGGCTGTCCTACATCTCCTTCCCTCTTCAACTTTGTGATCGTGAATGACTCCGTTCCGGAGTGAATGTTCTGTTAGGTGTCCGACTAGCAAATCTGGAGTATGCAGTTGGTAAGCTCTTCTTGGGTCGGACGCCATGACTATACAAGCATTACTAGATAGACTGGTGTGTATCGCTACATGCTTTTGCATGCGCTTTGCACACTCAAGTTGCAAAGTACCGTTGTTAGACTGGACTGATACGCCACCGGTTCTAGCTATCAGCGAACAGTCACTGGTCGTGGTGCATCTAACTGACTCTACATGACCACTTTTTTCTAGCTATATCGCTACTGTTGCTGCCATCTGAGTTTTTCACGTAACCAGCCAGTACATTCCCGAATGGCTCTGAGGTAAAAATTGTGGTCAGGGCGATAGCATTTGATACACTGATATTATGGGTTTTGGGAAACAGGCATTCGAAAGCGCTGTTCTTCATCTCATTGCACGTGTGCACCCCTGTCCCACATTGTCGCTGCTTCAAAGAAGCGCTTTCTTTACTAATGATGTCGACTGTTCGAAGCGACATATCATCATCGACAGTTAAACTATCTGTTACGGCAGCAAACAGACGTAAAGTGCTTGATACTAGATAGACTGTTATGTATCGCTACATGCTTTTGCATGCGCTTTGCACACTCAAGTTGCAAAGTACCGTTGCTAGACTGGACTGATACGCCACCGGTTCTAGCTATCAGCGAACAGCCACTGGTAGTGGTGGATCGGTCCATTTTGGTAGCTGTCTCGCCTCTGGTAGTCACATTACTATGGAAGCTACTTCACGTATCTGCAAGACCCGTGTGGATTTTTCAAACACAACCATCAATGGAGACGGCAGGGTATCAGACTCAGTGGATAGCGGGGTGTATAACGCCGTGGTAAGGCCGGTGTTACCGTATAGATCAGCGACGTGGCCGGTTCGCTTTGAAAATATTAAACGCCTGGTCGTGTTTGACCACCGGTACTTACCAAGTATTACTCATGTTTGGTGAGAACACCGGGTGAACAGTGCTGAGGACTGCCAGTTGGTTTTTGGCGAGAAGGTTTCTGGTGCCTTGCTCGAGTTTTTCTGAAGCCCAACTGTTTACGTTGACCAGATTATGTCTTCCGCATGCCCGTTGACTGGCTTCCTCCGCGCGCATTATACGCCGTTGTTGCACCAAATTGGGCGATGATCACGACGTGGTCAGTCTATGATGTGACATAAATACATGAAGAAATTCACTGAGGTACTCGATCTGACTGGCACTTGCGGCGAACGTTAATTGGAGCCTTTGGACTGTCCACATCAGGGGTTGGGTACCTTGATGTATATCTTCCCAATGCCCATTCAGCGGAGTTCCTGCCTTCGATGTCTAGCTTTTAGCTGTTACTATTTCATCCCGATTATTTTCGTTCACATTTTCCTTAGCCCCCTTTGCTTTCTGTCCTATTTATGTTCCACCTCACTTCCCACAATTGTCTTTTATTGTTGTCTTGGCGACGTTCTTGTCAACCGAATCCACCGCACTTCTGTGCTCGGGTCGTAGGTGTTTAACTGAAACAAACTGAACTTTCACTTGCCCTATGCTAGTCAGTGCGGCCTGATCTCGAACTTCTTCATATTAAACAACGCTGTGAGAAGACGAAATCTGGCAGATGTTAACATATTAGACAGGGCTTTATCTTCGCCAATTTACCGTTTCGCTACCAAAGTGACTGCGCGCACATCTAGGCCATTGTTTTTTCTCTCGAGCTTTTAACGAGTCCTCCATATTTACGCGAACGGCAACAACTCGTGAAGCTTTGACACATTGGTCCAATGACCTAATTTTCTCTTCAACCACTGCTGCCTCAGCTAAGTCGGCCTGTTACTCTCAGGCAACTTTGGCTGAACTTATGTTCTAAATTGCTCTCACACTTACCACCTCGGGCTTGTAAAGCCGATTGCGAAAAGTCTGCAGCGGCTAATCCACTGATGTCGAACATTTACTCGATCATACTTCACCCACCGAAACGGTGAAGCAACAAAACGATTTCATTCCACTGAACGCTCACTTGTTGCACTCTATTTATGCTTGCCAGGGAACTACCTTGTAACTGGCAGTTGTCGCCTTTCCGTTCTCTTAATTCCAAGATTGCGCTTGATGGCACGACAGTCTCATTAGTTGGCGTTTCCCTGACGTTTGCACCTACCTTATTTGGAAGTTCCTTGCCCCCCCTCACAAGAGTCAAATGAATGGAGTCCAAACCTGATAGAGATGATCATAAGTTTAGTCATTGTCAGATCCATGAGTAGCGGCCAAATGCTCACGCGACCTTCCATAGTTATCTCTTTTGACTCTGTTCAATTAGATTGTTGATGGTACTGGCAATAAAACTGTGTATGGGGATTCCCGTTGCTCTTGGTTTTTCTACCATAATCACAACGCTTCAGCGTAGTTCCATTCCCCCATTTTTCCTCAACGCAAGGTCGTAGGTGTTTATCTTGCTTGTTTTATCTTATATCAAGTTTATCTTCGGTGATGATAAGATTGCTTGAGAGAGTGTATTGATGTACTTCGTCATCCTAACATGTGCTAATTGCCATTCCAGGACGTAGCTGATTTGCTATCAGTTACAATCGTAGCAACTAGCCCATTTATGTGAGTGTCGGATGCACTGATTTTGCGGGGTACTTACGTCATTTCTGTTGACCAGGCTACCAATGCCATTACCTTGCGCATCGGTTAGGCCATGTGATCACCTCCGCAATTTGGAGCATAGCACGTAATGCTGTACTTACTAAGATTTTTCTCTGCGTCGAAAAAGCAGCTTCTGCTCGTTGTACACTCTTGTGGATTGCCACTCTTGAACCCCCAGTACTTACCGAGTTTTTCTCGTCTATATCGCGAATAGTGCTTGTGAAGATTATACGAAGCCTAGACCAAGTGGTCGCATGAGACGGGTAAGAACTTGTAGGCTAGTAAACCTATACTATACACACAATCTGGGTAGAGAACTTGAGACGTAAATTCCCGTTACCTGCTTCTAAAGGGCAGAAAAATACACAAGACAGGACTCATGACTAGGTTTGTAACGGCAGCGGACACAGATAACAGTAATAGTGAGGTTAAAAGCAAATTGGTAGAAGCGTGATTTTGTGAAAGTATATGCAATTGCACTAACTGTAAAACAATACTCGTTTGAGCATGTAATGGTCTAAAACACGAAAAGCATGTTGTTAAATCGAAAGGTGGAAAGAGGTGGGGCTAGCATCACGGGGTCACCAAGAGGGAATAATCGGTCTGGTAAAAGAAATCCAACTTCTTTCCAATTTTACATTCCCCCGGCGGTTGTCCTCTCCTTCTGTAAGCCCCTTATCTTCAGCGTCCCTCCCGGTATCGACTTTTAGTATAGCGTTGTCTGCTAGTTGTTGCATGAAATTCACTATTCCAAACTGCTTCTCGAGTTTTGCAACCTTTGGATCAATTTCTCCTTGCGACTGACATTTTGATGTGCGTAAAATGTTAACTATCGCTACATATACCTCTAAGATAACTAACTACATGACCACTAGCCATATCGCTAATGTTGCTGCCATCTAAGTTTTTCACGTAACCAGCCAGTACAGTCCCGAATGACTCTGAGGTAGAAATTATGGTCTGGCGTTAGCATTTGATGCACTGATGTTGTGGGTTTTGGGAAACAGGCATTCGAAAGCGCTGTTCTTCATCTCATTGCACGTGTGCACCCCTGTCCCACATTGTCGTTGCTCCAAGAAAGCGCTTTCTTTACCAATGATGTCGACTGTTCGAAGCGACATATCATCATCGACAGTTAAACTATCTGTTACGGCAGCAAACAGACGTAAAGTGCTTGAAGAATTGTTGTTGTTGTCTTATGTGCGGCTGTCTTCTGCAATTGCGCAGCCTTGCTTGGCACACCTATCTCCGCAACAGGCAGACCAATAACGTTAAAATCATTGACAGGAGAATCGTCAAGAAAAACTGGTACAGTAATACCGAGGCTCCAGATGTCAGTGGGAGGCGTTTAAGGTTTCTGTGACACTGTATACTCGGCGATCTCAGCTGAGGCTTTGTCAAAGATTAGGAGATAGTAGAATGTCCAAAGTTCCAGTAGACAAATCGGTTTTCTTTGGGCTAGTATTGTGATGACGTTTCGCCCTTGACACAATAGGTTCTTCAGGTCATGTGAACTAGATATTCGTTAGTGTACTTCTTGGTCTCGTAAGTGAGACCCATCGAATGACAATTTTTGACGTTGCAAATGAGTACTGATTGGGTGTTCTCGAGGCACTTCCCTAGAACTGATTTCATAGTATTTTCGGCCGATGCTAGTAATTTGCTTAGATCCAACACAATCCAACCGAGTAGGGTTCTGATGGCGTACGGATCATCAGAATCACCGCCCCTCTGTTCCAACGCCCAATGTAGATAGGAGTTATCGGTTCTAACAAAACGTCGCACGTTTCCCTCTGGCTCCGGTACCTTCAAGTTACATAGATAAGCCCATTTCCGTAACTGTTTCTTTTCCTTGTCTGTGGTAATTGCTTGCAGAAGACCACTGACTAATCTGAATAGTTTCAGTCCAACGGCCTCGTTCCTATCCAGCGAGTAGACCTTTAGGCTCGCTAGCTGTGACTCCATCTCGCATTGACCGGCAATCGTACGAATGTTCAACGTCTCCGCGGTCTCTCGCTCCTTTTCGTCCGCTAGTTTGTGCTTGTCATTACACCACATGTCACCATGCGGAGCCATTCGTAAGAGTTAATTTGTCTGCTTTAGGCACGCCATGTTCTTCGCATGGCGGTCGACCCCCCATAGTGTGTGTTCTCTGTTCATACTGCGCCCGCTTAAATGAAATCTTGGTGTATGACAGAAGTATCCGGTTGCTAACCAATAGTTTAAGTCCAGCTAGTTTGAGGCTTTGTGAAATGAAATGAAAATGTGTCAGCTTATACGCCGTAACGGCGCTTCGCTGCCGCGCGACCACCACTAGTCGCGCGCGGGCTGAGTATACCGCGAGGACGCCCACCCCTACGCGGAGAGTTTGAGGCTTTGTGATCGATGGCATGATGGATTGCAGACGATTTCCGGAACTGTGTAGTTGAGGAATCGTGAGCACGCTCGTACTCGGTCTATTCATCCTTTGAATCTGTCAAATTATACCTGTGATCGATTGCGGTCTTCTTTCGGGTTTTTTTCTTCCATCACTCATCACACCACAAGTTTACACATCTAGATCCATATGATTTCTCTCTGCGGTTCTTCGTTGTTTAACTGAACCGAGCTTTGGTCACTGCCCTTTGGACTTTTGCTACTTGTAGCGCCTTATCGGTAATCAAATTTGTCTACTGACTGGCTGATAGTTTTATTTTGCCTACACTTGTGCACTAGCCGAACCTCGTTACAGTCATTTATTGTATGCTCACTATTCTGATCTTATTCATAACGTTCAGTGTTCAGTTTTTATTTGTGAGCAAAGTTAACTATTTCCTATATCTAACTTTTCCAACGGCTTGGTTCCTTGATTTTTACTTTGTCAACTTTCAAAGAATGAGTGTCGGTAGACGGTACTAAATGTCCCTCAATCAATCTGCTTTACGCGTGTCTTTGTATTCAGGCGATATCCTCGTCTTCCTTACTGGACAAGAAGAAATCGACTCTGGGTGTGAGATTTTGTACGAACGGATGAAAGCTCTCGGGTCTGATGTCCCTGAGCTGATCATTCTTCCGGTGTATGCCGCCTTACCGTCTGAAATGCAGTCCCGCATATTTGATCCGGCACCACCAGGCTCACGCAAAGTGGTTATCGCGACTAATATTGCCGAGACCTCCTTAACCATTGACGGTATTTACTATGTTATTGACCCCGGCTTTGTCAAACAGAAGGTGTACAGCAGCAAGTCTGGAATGGATCAGCTAATCGTTACGCCAATTTCTCAAGTAGGTTTTTCTGCTGCTGCCCCCCTAATCTTATCCTCTTTTAACAATGCTTTTTACAAAGGTTTATTTTTCTCCTTGCAACCGTCTGGGTAGTTCGCAGCAACCACCCTCTTTCTATGCACTGTTCTACACTTAGGACATTCTCCCCATCTGCGTCGATAACGCTTGCCAGTCCAGATCCTCGATAAATCTTCCATTTATCACGTATCGAGTTAGTTTTCTTGTAGAGGCTCATACATATTTTGGTAGTTGTGGTCCTCGTTATGGTTCGACTGCGCTGTTGCCGAACCTATGTCTTTGTAGGAATTAGTGGTTTGATCGGCATCAGCAGACTTGTACCTATTCCCTCACGGGTGCACATTGGAGAGACCTTTACTGATGAATGATAAGGCTTAGTTTCTATGCTACACCAAACTGTCGTTATCCACTTTAAACCGCTGGATGCGGTGCACTTCACTCCACTGCCACTAGATTCGAGGACGCCGCTGTGCGGCCACGTCGATTTTGTGCTCTTCGTTATTGTGTACTTTCTGCTCATCATTTTCCGACAGCACATTTGGATAACACTAATTTGCTCTATTTTCTCAGCCATCTTGCACAGAAGTATTTCCTACGTATCACGGTTATAACAATTCTAGCTGTTTTTACGGCTTTCGTGTTCAAACCTACGTGTGCAAGACTTATCGCTTTTTGGTCACTTATCCAACTGTATTACTCTGCTCGATAGAGCAATCTGAGCGGTCTAATAAACCCGGATTCGCTCATATACAATCATTTCCAAAATAGCTCCGAAACGATTTGTGATCCAGTGTTTGTCCATCATTCTCATCCGGCTTCGCGCACATCTCGCATGTTTTCCAGTTTCCCCGGCAAGCTGCTCCCACTGATCGACCAGCTGACCAATCTGTCACCAGTCAGGCGCGCATGCGTGTAGACGACCAACTTCGGACCGATACTACGCATTGTCTTAGTGCTGACCCCACGAAGTTATAGTGCTCCTGTCAATCTGCACGTGGCCAGAGCAGTACAGTCAGTATTTAAACTTGATGCCACGCTGTATATACTCTTTAGAGAGATGCGATAAAGTCTTTAGGATGGGGATAACGTGTTGCAACTATATTCCATCCCACCTGTATAGGAAAGTTGGTCCAGGAAGTGAAGCAGATGAAGTAGCTGACGCATTTTGATTTTTCCAACCTGCCAAGTCATTTCAATTGTCAACTGTTTGTGTGCTCATGAATATGTGCGATAGGTTGGCTGATACAATCGTGCTTTTGGTGAATACTAACATCGCACCATCGGACGTGAATATGGCTCCACTCGTGCCTCAACCAGCCAAGTCAAGCTCCGCCTCTAGGCCGAATAAGATGGCCAGACTGTTTCCGAATCCTCTGGTTCACGTCACTCCCAAAAAGCATCGACTGCGCCTGCCTTCACTCCCTTCTGGGATGCATCTCACGTTAAGTCGGTAACGATGATGCCTCCTCCGAGCCAGAGTTCGTCCACTATAGAGAAATGCCGCGCGTCGTGTGCATCGGTTACCTTCATGCAAACGCCGGAGAGAGCAATTTTGATTCCGGTTGCAGCACTGAACAACATTAGGGTGAGGTAGATTCTACAACCAATCAAACTGTTGAAATCGGTATTAATTAATAACCCCAAGTCTGCATCCGAAAGGATGAATCACGGCGCTTTAACTGTTGTATGCACAGATGTTCCTGAATCGCAGTCTTGTACAATAAAGGGGAAGCTGATGGACGACCGTAACTAGCGGTAATCCATTTGTGTTGCGATTGGCATTACTATTGAGTCTACGACACTGAGGCGGGTCCCAAGTTACCCAAATTCAGTACATTAGGTGAACCTCGACTTCTCCGGGTTACACCGAGTTCCGCTGACGACACAGAGGCCGTTTTACTGCCTTCGATTCGGCTCCGTAACTCATCACGTGAAGTGCGCATACTTTCTTACATCCCTTGGAATGAACGTCCGAAATTGAATAGCAAGTGTGATGAAGTTCGTAAAGCTCACGAAAAACGTTCGATTATTGTTTACTGAGTTCCTCTTCTGAGGAAGAGGCGGACTTACACGACCGGGAGCGATGTAGTTACATCTGCCTGGAACTCTCCCTTGACCATATCGTTGCATGGCGGTTGACAAGAATTCCCATTTCACCCAACTACAAGGGAACGATCTCAGGCTGATGGATATGATGATTCAGTCTGAGCTAAATGACATCGCTTATCTAGGAAAACTGGTATACATCCCTCAAGCGACTGCCTCCAGCAATTTGATTAAAGACAGTGTATACACGGCGATGAGTGGCTGAGGACTCACTGAAGACGGCTAGGTTGCTGAATCTATCCTTCACACGGTTCTGGGAAGGGACTGGTCTAATGATAAGTTTAACATACGACAGAATGCAACTAATCATGGAGGACCATTGTGACCCAATATCAACGAGCACTGGTACCACCCAACCGAGGCCAACGGTCAGCACAATCTCCATTCTAAGTTCCTCTTCTAGCTCACTTTTGGTTACTGAGGAACTGACTTGCTTACATACTAATGCACAAGGCTTTCTTAGTGAGTTGGTCCTAATATGTCATCGTCAGGCCTCTGAACCTCGTGATAATGATATCACGAAACGTGGCTGAGGTGTAGTGTTACCGATGTTTAGATCGCTCTATCCGGTATGTCACTTCTCCGGAACGACAAAACGGGTAGGAGATTGCGAGTGGTTATTCGTTACAAAACACACCTTCGCTATGAAATCATAGATGATCTCTAAATGTGTGTCACTTATCTTCTTAGGTGCAAACTGTGGTTGAAAAACCACGACATATGGCTTGTGTCCGTAGTTTGCCGACCGTCCAAATCCACTCGCAAATGGAACTCAGACTAATATTGGCTTTGCGTATTGTGTGATGTCGTAGCTGCGGCCATATCCCCATTATAGGGCATTTTAACATCTATGATCTGGAAACCACCAACCGTTAGTAAGCATTTCAAGGCCTGTTCGCTCTTGCTAATCGCCACCATGCCCCTATACTACCACGTGACCACGCCCACCAGGTTCAGAACAGCGAATAAGCCATCAATGTTAGATCTGGCGCCCACCAACGAGGAGCTCATGGTTGATGAGCTAAATGTATGCCGCCCTTTTGGGTCGAAGCGTTCACGTGACTTTATTGTTTGAATACCGTGATACAGAGCCCGGTAGAATACAATCTATCCCACATTACGACATATTGTCCGCATTCGTTGAAAACGCTAGTTGGGCATTCATGAATTGGTGCCCTCCAGAACTAGTCTGGGAAACATTCTTGAGAACCTTCACGTCACTAGTCGTGGATGTATCAGTTCCAAAAGCTTTCCATCGTCCCAACAAACCAAAATCCTTTTTGAGAATACGAATACGAAAATATATGGCATTGAGGGATCTGACATTTCGCGTTTACAAAAACAATCCCAGCGCAGCAAATTGGACAACGTACGTATCTCAACTCAACTACTTTGTGCAATTGGTTCGTAAGAACCAGGTAACACACCAGCAGGAGATAGTGAGACGATTCTATCCGAACCACCGGCTTCTCTGCAAGTACGTGAATAGACTTCGTAGGGGGCATCGCGGAATCCCACCACTGACTACAGTTGGTAGCTATACCATACGGCGAGAGAGGCGGCCAAAGCTTTACGGGTCTAGTACTCGCTTAATTTCCAAAAATTACAAACCTCGGACGTTATTGCTGCTTCTGTCACCACACCAACAGCATCATAATCACAGCAGAAACAGTGCTTAAAAACATACTATACTTGCGTACACCCAGCTCTCCTGGAGCGGTTAACATCCACTATAAGGCACTGCAGGTAACAGCCATGCGCGTAGCCAAAACACTAGCTCGATGGATTGGAGGGTCATTTTGAGATACTCGTTGTGTGATCGGATTGCGACGCTCAATCTCAATGTGGACGATCAAATCATCAACAACAGCAGTACATGAGAGCGAATTTTGTCCAATTCGATCACTGGGGCCGTAACTGAAGCGTATGGGAACGAGGCGTTGCCCGCGAGAAAACATTGCGCTCCAGTACGCTTTGCCCGTCGTGATCTGGTGGCTAAAGGGGTAGAGGTTCCAACTGACATTCCAATGGTCCAGGGTTCTCTATGCTTGCTATCTCTCTCTCACACTCTATCACTGATGAAGTCAAACGAGGTCGAAAAGCGTAGTGGAGTGCCGTGTCTTCGGGCGGGCAACACCTAGTTCCCACTAGCTGGATTCTTTCAGTGTTGTCTAAACAAGAACATAGTTACGTCAAAGTGGAAACGGAGTATCATCACCCTTAATCATCATCATCATCATCATCAATACACGTTAGCCGAGGATGCGAAACACACCTCAGCAATGTGCCGTAATACTAAAAAGTAAGACCAAGCAATGTGGACTTAAAAGCTATAAATAAGTAACAAAATGCCAATCTTATTTTTGACCGTTGTTAGATGGAGAAGCGAAAGGGAAGAGAAGAGACAAAGACACTCACAACACAACCGCCATTGAGATCGACTCTTCGCCATGGTGGCTAGTGTATCCAGCCAAACGTGTTCATCGTTTTTCGGGAAACACCAACCGACGCTAGCTTCGAAGTGTGGGACTTCATTCTTCCTGACCAAGCCATCATTGACCCCTATTCACAAGGAAGGCAGTCGATCTGAGCCTTCTAATCACCGCCCGCTATCGCTACTCCCTATGCTCTCCAAGCTCATGAAAGCGATCATCGTGGACGCACCGATAGGCTACCTGGAATGCTGCGTCATCATTGCGCCTAAGAAACACCGGTTTCGTCAACATCGATCATGTACCACGAATCTACTGCTAGCACGCGACAACTGGAATCGAAACAGTCAACGAGGCAACAGGAACCTAAAGCGTTCGATCGCTTGGATCATCGAATCCTGCTTCACAAATTATGGCACTATGGCATCGAGGATCCAGTTCTAGGAAAGATCAGTAACTTTCTTCGCGAACGGCAACTGGAGGTTAGATTTCGAACACTTTTCTCCGACCTGATTCGTGTGGATCGCGGCGTGCCGAAGGCGTCGCCTATTCTTACTTTTCATCAATGATCTGGCGAGAGTTATCACCTCAGTTTTTGCTCTTCGCGGATGACGTTAAGGTTTGGTGGATGACCAAGGGATTGAACGACCACAAAGTCCTCCAGCGCGAGATTACTTTTATGAACGCACTGCCATTCAATGTGAACACGTGCCACGTTGTCCACATCTTTCATCGACACGCCTACATCCATAGGCTTGGGGTGCACGATATGAAGACCATCACTCAGGAACGTGACCTTAGTGTGCTGGTGCAGGGCGATCACGGTTGTTCCAGCCAGTCAGAGTCCGCTGTAAAAAGAGGTAACCAGCATGTCGGTCTCTTGCGGAGGGGACTCGAGAGTTTGGTTCATCCATTGTAACGTCCACCGTGAACGTTGAATAACGCGTAGCCAAAGATCCCGAAATCAAAACAAGTCGGATCACAAATACTACGGTACTATTAAAATATATACAGTTGATAATTGGGACATACTTCAATTGTTCAGTATCCCGGTATATGCAAGTTGACAACCCGGTGTCAGTAAACAATAGGGAACAAGTTGTCTACGCCGGACAATCCAAGGAACGAGTCACCGCAGCTGCGTGCTACGAGCATTAAGACTAATGGTGTTGACCAATCAAAGGATAGTCCAATCACAGGGTGAGAGTTTAATGGCACGCATAAACATGGTGTTTGGACAAGCGACCAGTGAATGGGGAAGGGGGTGCGACACATGCTCCGGGCTGAACGTGTCCTGTTCGGCGAAGAGTAGGGTTGGAGATCCAAGGTCGTCGGTAGACGCACACACACGGAACCAGTGCCGGAATTAGCACGCACACACAGACACACCTACAACGCTAACAATGGGAATGTAAGGAGGCGCACATGAAACGCTGGTCGATATCCATCAACGACCGGCCAAGCTCTGTAGACTAGACCACGAAGCGAAGAGTAGCAGAATTTCATGGGTAAATAAGCGCGTTACATCCATCTTCTCTCTGATGTTCAATGCCTACGCTTGTTCCCATGTCGAATACGTAATCAAGGCTTGGCAGCCATGGCTAAAGCGTGACTTTGCAGAACTCGAAACTCCCCAACGACGAGCAACGAAATTTCTCAAAGGATTACGCCACCTTCCATACCAGGAATGACTGAAGAGACTTGATGTGTTCCATGGACGCTACCCGCAGCAACGTGGGGATCTCATATTAGTATACCAAATACCGAGCGACCCCCTCACATATACTGCCACCTTTCGAAACTCAGCTCGAACGTCAACCACAGAGGCAATCTCCTGAAACTGAGTCAACGATACAGTTGTTTAGATTGTCGACCAAATTACTTTTCCATCCGGGGAAGCCAAACTCAGTCATTTGTGCCCAAACCTAAGCCATTTTCAAAAACTGTTGAACTCCCCACACTTTGTCTCATGTATGGATCATGTGGATATGTTCAAGCTACCTAGCTTCTTCGGAATTATAATCCACAGTGACGCAAGTAATTCTGTGCAGCCTAGTGAGCAATCCGCTTGTTATTTGCTATTAGCATTAACCATAACGACCTATTAATCCGTATTGCATGGTACCACAATCCTAGTATTCTTAACCCATTACTTTATCTAGTCACCCACCGATGCGCATTTTTTTGGTCCACAGGTGGTGGTGTATTCGGATTTGCAATTCCTTCCAATCCAGCTTGTGAAGCTTGTACTTTTATATCCGTCCTAAACCATTATCCTATTGCATTTGCTGCGTCCCCTTTTTGTAGGCCCAAGCCAAGCAAAGAGCTGGACGAGCGGGTCGAACGGGCCCAGGCAAATGTTATCGACTCTACACCGAAAGGGCGTACCGTGACGAGATGTTGGCCACCAATGTTCCAGAAATTCAGCGCACAAACCTAGCCAGTACTGTGTTACAGTTGAAAGCCATGGGTATCAATGATCTGCTCTCCTTCGACTTCATGGATCCACCGCCGTTACAAGTGAGCACTTTAATTCTGCCACTCATTTCGATTTGTCTGAATTCCAATGAAGTGCGAGCAGTTTGGTGAATGAATCAAAGCGGGAGGTGAAGCATTTCTTTTCCCCTCCATATCGTCCGGTCACCAAGTCTTTTACACGCCTGGCTTGCAATCAGAAGGTCACCGGTTCGCATCCGCGTAGGAGCGGGCGTCCTCGCGGTATACTCAGCCCACGCGCGACTGGTGCTGGTCGCGCGGCAGCGAAGCGCTGTTACGACGTACATCTGACAATTTATTGTCAGCCCGTAGCCTTAAGGATAACAGCCTGCCTTTTAATCGGAGGGCGCGGGTTCGAGCCTGCGTATGGGCAGGGCGCCCCTCGCAGTATCCTTAGCGCACGTGCGACCGGTGGTGGTTGCGCGACAGCGAAACGTCGGTACTGCGTACCAACGGACTGCCGATGCCTCTTACTTCCATACCTCGCCTTTTCTCCCTAATCTTATCGACTTCACCTTTTCTTCCCCAGCTACCCAGTATTTTTGATAAGTATCTAATCTCAACTCGCTTTTGTTCGCAGTTTGTAGATGATAAAGTCCACTGAAGTGTATCCGCTTAATAAATTAATTAAAACGCCATATTTCTCGACATTGCGAAGAACCGTCCAACTGAGTGATCTGATCAATATGTAAAGCGGTATCTCTCACAACAGCTAATTGTCCAAGTTTTTCAGGGCGGTTCCAAATGTTCCAGCAATATTGAGACTTGGGGAATAATGCCAAGTTCAAATGTAGCCAAATGTCCAAGTGAAGTAATACGGCCATCCATAGGACTCTCTCCATGGGGCCTGCTTCCAGGCAGGCTATTTCGTCGAGAAGTTTTACCCCCACATCCATGCTCCATCTAATTATGTGCCGGCGTCACTTAAAAACAAGTTAGCCAACACATCTCTGATTCATCCCTTCGGCAGTACATATACTAACATTGGCACGATACAGATAAGATTAGCATGGTTCCTGCGCAAAGATGGCATGCAAAATCGTGAAGCGTTCCGTATTTTCTTGTCCCCCATAGCTCAGGGGCATAAGCTGCTGGCTAGTTCGCGCAAGCCACTAGCAATCATGGGTTCGACCCTCGGCAGAGGACGGAAGGATGCGCACCACTGACTAGCCCACAAAAGGGCAAAACGGCCGTTTGAGGCCTGATGCAAATTGCCCGGTGGAGTGTTTATTGTGTCGCTTGCATGACGGAGGAGCAGTTCCCCCGTAGCTCAGTGGTCTTAACCACGGACTGGCAACAGTTGCATTGCGGGTTCGAGCCCTACTAGTTTCCGATGAAATGCGCACTGCTGACGATTCCCGAAAGGATGAAACACGCGTGTGGTGCTTTTGATGTGTGGTGTTGGTGACATACAGCACCAGTGGATCAGTGACTTCCTTATTGGGAGAAGACGGCGGGTTCAGGTGGATGACCACCTAATGGAATGGTACCCGTTCACTAGCGACGTACGCCAAGGCACAGGACTGGGGTCCACTTTATTCCTGAGCCCGCTCAACGAAGTACCCCAGCAACTTCGGTCGCGCTGTGCATTATTTGCACACGACCTGAAGATCTGGAGGATTATCGATTCTGCCGGCGACTATGGCGACCTTCAGCAGGACCTCGACCGCCAATCCCGGTGGTCTGCAGAAGTTGATCTACCGGTCAACCCTGCCAAGTCCTCGTTTATGAGCCTGGGTAGGGGTGGTATTGGGCGTGCCTACACCCTGGCCGGCCACCCGCTGCATCCCACCAGTTCCGTAAAAGATCTAGGCGTATTCTCACGCTGTGATCTGAAGTCTGTCGACAACATGAACAGTGTACGCAAACGTACTACGCCAGCTTTGGGCACTTAGACGCAGCTTCTGCACTTGGTCTGAAGAGATTGCGACCCGTCTGTTCTCTTCCATGATAAACTGGTGCTTGCGTACGGCTCACCCGCCTATTGTCCGATCACAATAGGTGAGGTGCAGAGACTGGAACGGGTCTACTATGTAGCTACCCGGCTCATCCCCAGTTTACGAAATATGTCGTTCGAGGAATAGGGCTGTATACCCTGTCATATTGTCGGCTTCGAGTTGATCTCATTATGACGCACCGGATAGTGTACCTGGGCCACTTCCCTATGTTGAGGCTGCTGCTGCACGTTCGTCCGTCAAGCAGCACACGCGGACACCGGTACCAACAGATGGTATCGGATTTGAAGCGCATCGCTCACCCTCTATGCTTCGAGCGTCGAGTGGTGAAATGTTGGAACAAGTTACCAGAGACGCTAGTCGAGGCGGAATCGATGTCGGAATTTAAGAGATTCCTTTACCCCTCCCACTTTGCGGACTACAGGTATAAGGAGCGTATCGCACCCGGATAAGATGTGGTGCAGCTACCATATGCCGCCGCCACACAGAAATCAGCGACCTGATTCCGCGCATGTGTCGGATCCCCCTACGATGGAGCAACACAGATTTTTACCTTCTCGCTCTCTACTTTCAGTATTCATCTCTTGGGCTATTATAAGTATAAGCACTAAAACCATCCAGCCAAATTCAATCATCCTGCATGAGGGTATTCATTAGCTTGGAAGCTAAAATCCATCATCCCAGGAAATCGGCTCAGTCGTAATCGACGCCACAATAAGGACTCATATAACGTAAGATCAAATAAAACATAACCGTTTTGCCCACTGCCGCTGTCCTGAAGTTCCATGTGATGGAATTTCCCTGCGCTTGAACTCGATGAGATCCCCGTAGAAAGTATTGAAACTGAATGCTTACGGACTTGACGAATCGGTTAATTCTAATGACTCCGTCTTCCTAAGCTTCACTTTAGAAGAGTATAGTGGTGGAGAATGGGTCGCATCATATCGCAGCTGGCTGGTTGCTCACCCCGCTGCCACACTTCCTGCAACTGGGTTATATTGATCACTGCGGCAAGTGAGTACGATCGCAAGTATTTGCACTTGACGCTCCAGGTGGGTGTACTGATCATCCGTCTTCCGGGTTTCTTGTGAGCGTTTTATTAAATGTAGCTGGGTTGAATATCTTTGAGTCACGTCATCCTGAACACATCTCACACATTTAGTATGAGTCTTTAAGCAACAACTGTCCATTACACCCGGGTGCGTCAGTTATGCACCCAATCCGTCACATGTCCGCGCTTGTGGTTCCATTTTTGTATTGGCTACCTTATCCTGCACACCTCTTAGTCTGCAATCTCGGGATTACCGTTGCTAGCTTTCGGCACAGGTATACATTTTAGTACCTAGCGTGGATTAGTTCTGATTCTGTCAACATTCATGTATATCTGTTAACCTTGTCCAAATTTACTGACCTGTTATGATGTTATTAGCCTGGACAATCATCGCTAAAGCTATCTGCTTGTCAAGTTAAAGACTGCGTTGATGTTCTCTTCGGACTGGATGTGTCGAGATTTTCGACTACTTTAATTTTTGTAGGTTTATAATAGCAGACAATACATTGATGACATGCGTCTCTGTCCACTCAACGACTATTGTTACCTGTTTTATGTTCCATCATGCTTGCAGTTTTAAAGTGCAGTTGTTTTCATTAAATCGCTTATCGTAGGATTCACCAGCATGAATGACAGCCACGTGACTTATTCAGCCATTAGGACTTTCGTAAGTCATTGGCTGTTTCTATCTATCAATAACAGTTGGCTTATTTAAGTGTGGGCACGTTTTTGGCCAACTTACCTAAACTGCCTTGTTCGTTCTCTAGTTTTTATGCTCCTAGATTTTAAGGGACTAGTCATATAGCCACCCCATTTTCACTTTTTACTCACCTCGGGATATTTGTCCCGTGACTGGTCAACATCTGTACCTTTGACTACGCAAAGCAACTTAGCCGGAAACACATACATATGGATTTGTTTTGCTTCTCGATATTGGTCGGACTTTTTACCTACCCCTGACCCAACATAGGACTCAGCCAATCAAATCATTAGTTTAATTGGCTGTCTTGTTTTCCTTGGTCTGGGTATCGATAGATTACATGGCACCTCCGAATCAAGTCTGCACCCCTCTCATTCACTTTGTGACGTCACTACAGTAACATGTCAGTGAGAAGCAAGTTGCGCGGCTCCACAACCACCCAGCCATATTTTGTCTATCGATATCACTCACTAGGAGGAAACGAACAGATGCAAAGCTTCCTCTTCACTTACCACCATAACGTTATGCATTACCAGTAAAACTCTCATTCGACCTGTCCTGGGTTTTGCTAGTATACCACCTTCCTTGTTAACATGGTGAAGAGCCGACCTGAATGGCGTTTGTGTTGTGAGTTTCTTTGTTCCTTCCCTTTAGTTCCCCCTCCCCCCAACAACCATCTCATATCCAATTTGTTGCATGACGTTTAACATTGTATTAGTTTTTTTAGTTTGTACTGTTTAGTATCCTATTGTTTTTGTGTCGCGACACGTTAGCTAAGGTGTGTTTGTTGCCCTCGGCTAACGTGTATCGACGATGATGATACCGCCATCCCGCATGCCTCCGGCAGAGTGAGGGTTTACAACCAGCTTTTGTCGCTTTTTGCTTTCAATAGCGATATGCGACAGTGCTACTCCATGCGCCCGTTCCTCTTCAATTTTGCAATAGAAGACGTTCTGTCGAGAGTTCTAGAAAGTTTCCAAACTATGGCTTAGAACTTCTATCGAGTAAGCACGCAACCGGCTTAGATTAGCTGATGGTACACCCCAATTGGTGACGATCCGCAGAGTATGCAAGTTATTCTGAGCCGTTTGACGGTTGAGGCATTTAAGTATAGCATGTGCTCCGCTTTTTCGAAGTGTAAAATGCTACTTTGGGATCGGTCCACACCTGTTCCTGTGCTCACAACTCGAACAGGTAGTTGTGTTTCTGCTAGCCGCGCTATCAACAAGTATATTCCTTCATCCTTAAAGTCAGAGCAGCATTTGTCAATCTGAGGTACACATGGCGTCGTCAGAACGTTGGCTTCTCTATAAAGGCCTGCGTTTACAGTGTGTTTGTTCGTTCAGTGTTGCTGGATGAGTACGAGTCCTGGCCAAATCGCATGGAAGACATGCGCCGTCTTTCCGCCTTCGACAACGATTGTTTGAAGAGGATCGCTCGTGTGTGTTTGACAGTTGCTTTTCCGATCATCCCAGCTGCTTTTAAAACTTTGGTTTTATTTACTTACCTTCCTCTTTCTATCTCTAATTCCCAGACCCTCGTTGCTGCCATGGAAACGCTGCATGGACTGTCCGCCTTGGACGATGAAGGACTGTTAACACGCCTTGGCAGACGCGTAAGCATTTGATTTTCCAAATTTGCTACTCTGTACAAGCGCCGCACATCATACTTTTTCACTGTGCACCGCCTCACTTGTTGAGAATGCGTTCGTCCAAATCTACGGCAGATAATTGTTTTTCGTGTTAACGGTTTTTCCTCAGTCCTTTTTCCATTCGTCTCTTTTTGTTAGCTGTTAGCACATTTCACTGCCTGACATGAGATGTTTTCCGGTAATGTGCACTTGTGCTCACCTTCTATTTATTCACACAACTTAGTTTGAGCCAACTTACTATTATATACCTTACCATTTTCTATGCCGGTATAATTAGAACGCACAATTAACTCTGAATATCTTCATTCCCAATCCTCTTAGATGGCGGAGTTTCCATTGGAGCCTATGTTATCAAAAATGTTGATAATGTCTGTCCATCTCCAATGTTCTGAAGAAGTACTTACCATCGTCTCGATGTTATCCGTTCAAAATGTATTTTATCGACCAAAGGTATGCGTTATTGTTATTTTTTAACAACCCAACTCAGATTTTGTTATCCCTGTCACACATCGCTGCTATTCCCACAGCTTACTTTCTATAACTTCCGATAGATGTAATCAGTCAGGTATTTGCCTACCTCTTCTACCTGTATGTATTGTCTGTTACTGCGTGGACATGGGACCGTTGCTTTTCTTACCTTCTGAGCAACAAGTTTCAACTTCCAACTTATGACTATTCTCGAGCCACGGTCTCATGGGCCGTTGCTAGTTATGAGTTGGCATTGCCGGGCGAGCGCGAACTAACGCTTGTGTGGGGATTTACTGCCTTATACTCTGGGCAGATGTAGTCCACATGAAAGCATTGTCTTACTGAATCTTTTCTGTCCCCTCCAATCTCTTCAGATGTGTTGCTTTCGTCTGGTTGATGTAACTGGTTTTGTCACATCTCGCCTTCTTTAAAGCGACCAATTGCTGTCCGGCGGCCGCTTTTTTCCATGGTATTACACAGTTGCACCACTTTTCATGTCTATGCATATCATACTTCCAATGCTTTCGTACGCTTCATCGCACTCGCTACTCGTCTTCGGCGAATGTGTTTGCCTGCTTGTATGGTGTACACCTAGCTATGTAGGTCGCTTGTCGGATACCGTTTCGTAGTCGAATCCCATCCAACTGGTGTTAGTTTCCGGCACTCCTCGGTTTCTTCAACTATCTACTCACAATCAGCATCACCTCTATCCGGCGTCCACACTGGAACCACATTTTTTGTTGTTCATTGAACCAACTAATGTATTGCATCCAAACTACCAGATATGGCTGGCACCGATTTCCGCAACATTGTCCATCGCTTCCACCTACTCGCCTCCCTTATGGTCACACGTTACTTAGCAGCGGCAGCAGCAGCAGTAGTAGTAGTAGTAGTGTTGTGTTTTCGAGACGATTCGTCGCAGTCAGCCAGTCTCTGCACGTCCTGGATGTGTGAACGATTTCATCCACTACACAGTGAACTTTCTCTTCTATTTGTTCGAATTTCCAAATTTTATTCTTCCACTCTTCATCGTATCGTAACACTACCTTGCCTTAACTAGCACGTTTACTTGTTGGCCCAACGAGTCAAATATGCTGCGCGAGCGGTTGTTGAGGTGACATGTTATGTTGATATTATCATCCGGTATACACGCAGTTGTAGTGCAAATGCTGAAAATGTACCCATTAGGATTCATAAAGTTTATTTTAACGATTTGACTTTGCTTGATGACCCTAATCCTTCTCCTGTCTAGGTCTAGGCGCCCTGGTATTATCTCAGCCCACATACAACCATAACCATTTCATCAAACTTAAACCACATCCATCATCTGTCTTGCAGCTTATCAAGGGTCACCTTGTCTGCTGCATACAGCAGGGCGGATAAGCGAAAGCATGGTACTGCTTACGCCTCCCTTCTTTTTTCCACCTGTTTCTCTAAATCCCCTCCCTACCCCCATTACTAACCTGACATTCTCAGCTTAGTTGACAGCAGCTGCAATACCATCGATATTATACCGTATCCAGCTATCTCCTTGCATCATCCTCTAGACACTAATCGCCAACATCCCCCTTATAAGGCCACGCCGTCCCGTTTCCATTGCGGCATTCAGCATCCCCTCTCTAAGACAGCAGGCTGCACTCGTACTCACGTTGGGCCCACACTGGGTGTTGACCTGTGTTTTGTGTCCGAAACTAGGATTAGTGGCCTTCATCTGGTTGTTGAATTAATTGTGCCAAGCTTGTCCTTTCGCTGTTGGTTGCACACATCCGGGGACACTGATGCGGCAGCCCATGGTCAAACTGGGGTAGGTATCATACTCAGTTCCAAGGCTGAGTTATCGTTGCTTGACTGGATTCCAGTGAGCAACCGTTTGTGTGCAACCAGTTTGACGACATTGACTATGGTAGATTCACGAAGTAGTATAAGACGCTGTTTGTTTGTGATTTCTATTTATGCACCCACCGACTTCAGTTCTGGTGCTGTCAAGGACAAATTCTACCACGAATTGGACACGCTACTACGCAGTGTTACCAGTTCAGATGTCGTAGTACTTGCAAGGGATGTGAATACACAAGTAGGTCGCCTGGGCTCATCAGAAGCTCAGCTGGTTGTTACTTATCGGCTTAACTTCGAACGGACTGACAACGGCGAGCGTCTTTTGCAACTGTGTGCGGAACACCAATTGTATTCTTAGTAGGACTGTTTTTAGACACAGTGGGCGCCGAAATTTCACTTGACATCCTCCTGTGGCTGACCAGCAGTGGACTCGACGTAATCACATTGCCATAAGTTAAAGGTGGCATGGTTCCATCCTGCATTTTTGCTCGTTCTGGCGCAGTTGCGTCGACTCTGATCATGACTTGGTGCTCTGTCGTCTTTCCATGAACTTCATCGGGAGACGTACCAATCGTGTCTTCCGATTGACAACTGTGAGGTTATCTCAGCTCTCGGTTAGGCAAGCCTACCAGGATGATCTGCGTATGGAACTTTCACCCTCACGCCATAAGGACGCTGGGATTCAGTGGAATAAAATCTTGGTCACTCTGCACGACGCTTGAACCTCTGCGGCCCCCTATCAATCATCACCGCAGCAGTCACTGAATATACGGTAGGTCGGTGAAGCTGTTGAGATCCAGAAGAATACTCCAGACTATCTCAGCACCACTTAACCAAACGGATTATTAGATGCGAACAAAAACTGTGCCTGCGTGCTGATAAGAAAGCTTGGTGGACTGGCAGGACTCAAGAGATGAAGGAGGCGAAAGCAGTAGGCAATTATCACAAGTTCTTGCGGCTGATCCGCACCTCTTGTCCCAAGAAACCAAGTGTCAGTGAGATAATCAGATAGCACTGTCGTTCTGATTCACAATAAGGAGCGCCGTATGGCTTGTTGCGTGGAGCACTTTCGAAAGCAGTTCAGTTGTCCCTCTGCTTCTGGACCTCTTCCTACACAGGCAGGCTGAACCATGGACGGTTAGTTTAGAGGCTCCATGGGACGCTGATTTCCGAACCACGATCATAACTTTCAATCCTTTTCGAGCTGTTGGCCTGTAATCCTTCCCACCTTCACCATTTGAAGATGGGGGTGAGGTCCTCTACAAGGCACTGACCTCCCTGTTCGAACATGACTGGAAGGTAGAGATCATCTCAGCTAACTGGAGTGAATCGATTATAGTGTCAATATCCAAGAAGGACAGTCATACCGACTGTGCTAACCACATGGTCATGAGGCTAATGACAGTAGTAACAAAATTACTGACCTTAATTCTCGTTCGTCGCCTCTTGGCGGAACTGGAATCCCGGATTAGAGAAAAGCAGGCAGGCTTCTGATCAGTTGATCACTCTATTTGTTTGAAACATTCGCACGGAATGGTGTTTCCATGAATTATGTGAACATTCTACCTGCTTTGTACTGGAACCACAGGCCACGTCAGTGTCTACGGTGATCTATCGGGTAGTTTTCCTACAGGGTTGTCTAATTTCCCCATTTTTGTTCCATTTGTTCGTGGACTCGATCATGGTATGTTCCCTTACGGAGCTTCGCGATGCATGCGTTGGGGGTATCTCCTTGTGAAAGGCTAGTTGATCTTAATTATGCAGACGTTATCGTCAAATTGTTTAACGATGTTGAAGCGGCGCAATCAACCCTGAATAACCTCTCAAGAGTGGTCCCATTATCTGGTATGGGCTTCGCACCTTCAGTGTGCAAACTGCTGCCGCAGGACCACCAGCCATTTGACGATCCCTTGACCCTAGATAGCGAGGAACTCGAGGTAGTTGATCAATTCACTTACCTTGTCTACTGCGTCAACCCATCATTATGGGCACATAATCACTGAAGCCGATTCGCGTAATGCAAAAGCTAGAACTGCGTTCTTGGGTCTTCGACATCTGTAATGTCGGACGGACTTTTATCTCGGTCTGAAAGGCTGTGTTTACAGGGTCACATTGAGGGTCGTCTAGTCGTAAAGTAGTGAGACTTTCGCCCTTCGGTCTGAGGATCTGCAGCATCCTCAGATCATTGATCATCGTTGTCCGCGAAGCGTTGCTAGAGTCGGATGGCGCCAGTGTGTTCGCAACGACGATGTGCGTAGTCGAGTGCTAGGCAAAGATACTTATGCTAGTTCCTTAGAACGCCAGATAGCACTGAATAAGTTGCGTTGGCTCGGGCACGTACTACGTATGCCCGGTCACCGTTTACCGAGGAGGGCTATGTTTTGTTTGCGGGCAAAGTTAACTTAGAAGCGAGAAATGAAGTCACAGACGACCAAACTTGGTGCTGTTGGTCCGTCTCATCTTCCAGACTGGAGTACACGTGACTCACCTTGTGCTTGGCTTAAGACTTTACAAGACATGGCTCGCAGTCGACCTCTGTGGCTTGTCTGCTGTCGTCTCCTAGTCGGACTGCCGGTTTGAAGTGTGTCTGGTGCTGAGTCATCTGTGTGGTGATGCCTGATTATGATGCGGGGCAGGGAAAGCCGCAAGGAAGCTGTCTCGCTGATGCCGCCTTAATTTAGCTCGATAACCAGCTGGTTGTGACGGCATGTTGTTGACAAGGTGTAGGCCTCTTGATCCTGAATTTTTGCTTAGGGCCGTTGGTCCCCCTTCTCTTCCTTCCATTATTCTTTGTTCTCTCGGTCATCATGATTGTACGGCAGCGAAGCATCAGTTCAAATGGCAGATCTATTGGTGTTGATAATGATTATGATGCTAAGCGGTTTTTCTGCTGCAGTCGCGTGGCATTATCTCTGGTTGTCTGACCGTCTTACGGGCTACTGCGCTGATCGGTCAGACCTGACCTGTTTTTGATCCTTCAGCCACCCTGGAAACGGTCATGTGTCCATTTTGATTTGTCATCATATGAGTGCTACATTGAAGTGTCTATTTTTTGTATGGATGGAGGACGTTGAGATGACGCGTTGGGGACTTTTAGAGAATGGCCATCTTCGGCCATCGGACCATGCCTGATTAGCTTTTCGGACAACCAAAATTGACATCTACCAGTTAGCTCTTGATAGCAAACCTTTATGGCATTTTACCATTTTCGTACCTTTATCGACCGTTTACATCTGTTTGCACGTTGGGCAACTAAACACCAGATAAAAACACCGAAGTTACCAGCGGATTTTTTCGGTTTGTTGTGTGCGTCTGTAGTGAGTCAGCGATATCCGTGGTTGGGGACCACTTGTTGCTTTGCACAGACACGAAATCAGTCACTGGCACCGTTCCCATCTCTAAGGCATAGCTTCTGTTTTCCGTTGTTGTTTTTGCATAATTCTTATTTTCCTCATTAGTGTTAACTTGCAATATCATGTTGTTGTTAAGCTAACTGGATCCGTTGCATTCGACTCATCGTTGAATGATTGCATTGGGCTGACTGATATCCCTATTCGTTGGTCATAGGAAAAAACCGAACTGGCTGATCAGCGCAAGGCCAAGTTTCATCAACCAGAAGGTGACCACTTGACGCTTCTGGCTGTGTACAACGCATGGAAAAATAACAAGTTCTCTGCTCCCTGGTGTTACGATAATTTTCTCCAAGCTCGAACTCTGAAACGTGCTCAAGACGTCCGTAAACAGTTGCTGGGCATAATGGATCGGTAAGAACCTAACTGGCTTTTTCATTTAAGTTTTTTGATGCTCTAGCCATGATTGATTGTTTGCAGATGGATATTCTCACCTTCGCCCTCATCCCTTTCAGTGACTGTGTACTGACTTGTTTACTCTTCCGGCTTCCAATCATTACTATTAATTTTGTATGCTTACTTCTAAGCACTCATTCATGTATTCATCATACACAGCTAAAGGTTAAAAACACCTCAGCTATTGTGCCGCGATACATACGACAAGAAAAAACATACAACAGAGGCACGCCGACTGAGTCACCAGTACCGGATGTACATTGTTCCGGAGAGCTACCAGCCGGCTGTTGTGCTTCAAAAAAGAAAGGAAAGGAAAGGCATCAACCGTACGCCGGCACGCAGTACTGACGCTTCGCTGCCGCTCAACTACCGCCGGTCGCACTCGGGCTATGGATACTGCGAGGGTCGCCCTGCCCCTACGCAGGCTCGAACCCGCGCCGCCAGATTACAAGACATGCTTGTTATCTTTAGTCTGTGGGTCAGCAAAAAAGAGCTATATTGTGTCTAAGAAATGAGGTTGTGGTTGGAGGGGTGGCTAAGCGGAAGGGAGGGACAGAGAAACTCACAAGACAAACGCCACTGGGGTCTGTTTCTAACCATCTCAACAAATGGATCTAGTCAAACGTGTTCATCATCTTTCCCAGGGAGTAAAGGCACTCCAACTGGGGCCAACTTCAAAGTGAGGGCCTTCATTCCTTATGAACAAATTATCGCTCAGTCTCCCCTCTTCTTTCAACCGTACCCCCGGCGCGCAAACAACGCACGTCGGGGGAGTCCGTGGGCTGGCATGCGCAACACGTGACCCAGTCATCGGAACCTGATGCGTGAAATGATGCTGCTGAACGGCTCACTTATTCTCCTTGTGCCATAAACAAGGCGTCGAACGCGCTCATTGCTCGCACAGTGTTTCCACCAGATATGAGCCAAACTACGAAGACACCAGGTGGGGCTCAACTAGCCTCTTTATGCTGGCTGATCTAATGGGCTAGGTTTCACGACCATAGAGTAGGGTCGAACGTACGGTTACATAGTACACTCTACCCTACAAGGAGAGAGTGATGTCACGCCGGCGCCATAGGTGGCGAAGGTTAGCAAAAGCGCCTCAAGCTTTTCCTATACGGTTTGTGACATCTTCAATTCCAACAACGCTGATACAACTACGTAAGTGGTTGAATTTTTGAACTACTTTTATAGGATGCTCACCAAGCTTCAGCGCAGGAGGCGGTTCCTGTCAATATTGAAGGAATGCTTTGCACTTCGAGGATGCGAAGCAAAGCCTGAAGTTACTGGCAGCCAATGCTAATCTGTCCAGTGCAGTTGGCACGTTTATGTGCTATCACAGATCAGGACAATATCCTCGGCATACTCCTAGTCAAGAAGTCATTTTCCTGGGAGCAACTCCACACCTTCTTAGTCTTGTCCTGTGAAATCTGTTTCCATGACTTCGTCAATAGTGAAGTTGAAGAGGAAAGGTGACAGCGGCCATTTTTGTCTCACACCGCTGGAGATATTAAAGGGCGACGACAGCTTGCCGTTAGCTGTTATTCTGTCCGAGCTACGCGCGTTTAATCTTTGGATAATATTTACATATTTATCGAACACAATTTTCGTGAGTAGACAGTTTCACAGGGCACATCTATCCACCGAATCGAATGCACCTTTGATGTCGAGGAACACGACAACGGTGGGCCGCCAATATATATGACGGTGCTCCAACAACTGACGCAAGGTGAAGGTGTGGTCGATACAGCCCCGACCTCGACGAGACCCGACTTGCTCCTCACGAATCTGGCTTTCACGAGTGCCCGTCCGTCTGTGAAGGATGACAGAGGCAAGCAATTTGAAGGCAATGGAGATCAGACTGATTCTTCTATGGTTACCGCATTCCGATCGTGAGCATCCCTTGGAAATTGGGACAATGACCTAGCAGCTCAAGTTGGTTGGGACAGTTTCCTGCTCCCACAATTTCACTAGTAACTCCTGTAAATCATCCACAAAGGTAGGTCCCCCGAATTTGAAGAGGGCTGGATGAAGATCATCTGGTCCCGCGGTTTTATTTTAACCTCAGCAATCCGCTCTCACGTTCGACTTCTGGGCGAGAGGACGCATCCAAAGGGACAGCCCACGGAGCAGGGCGATCAGTGGCCGGCGAGAAATCTGACAATTCCGACCAATGAAACTGCCTTTCAAAGTGCTCAGCCCAACGCTCCAAGCGTTTTGCCAAGTTTTGGATAGGTTGTCCACTCTCATCACGTAAAGTTTCACTAACGCCAGGTCTCCTGCTGCCCGTTTCTTGTATTAGCCGGAATAACTTACGATGGTTAACAAGGGCATCGGCCACTTCCATCTATGCTGTACGATGTGACCACCAGGATTCGCGACCTCTCTTCAGGCTAGCACGGAGTTTTTCCCTGAGGTTACTGTAAGTCTCATTATGTACGCTTCCAGCCAGAATATGTCGGTGAGCATCGATAACTTCCAGAGACTGCAAAGATACCCAATGTCCATTTTAGCGATTAGACTTACCACATGAGGAATTGGCTGCTGCTAGTAGGGTCTGGGGAACCTGCGACCAGTGACCTTCAAGCGATGCTCACGGAGCTAAGAGGGATAGTGATCAAGGCATCAGCCTTTAACCACTAGGCCCCTAGTTCCACCCCAGCTCAGGCTATCTCCATCTGATGGACGCAAACGAGGACGAAACTGGTTATTGGGTGTCGGAGTTGGGAGGAGCAACACCGAAGTAAGCTGGCATCTTCACACAAATGAATTAACCGCTCACCGTTCTCATTACGGGAGCCTACACCGTGTTGACCGCCCAGATTTATTTCATGAGTGGACACTTTTCCAACTTGAGTGTTCAGATCCCACTTGCAGGCACTACACCAACGTTCCTAAAGGTCATTGCGAAACCGTAGAATTATGACCAACGGGTCGATAATCAAAATAATTTTACTACACCCATGTCTGTAGTCATTGTCACGGTGGCCGCCGATCTGCTCCATTGCATGAACAATTCAACATTTAGCAATCCGAAGTTCCACAGTCATGCGATCCCTCATTTAATCTGATTGCGTTTGCTCAGAGTGCGTTCTGATGCACTCAGTCGTTTCTGGGTTTGAAACACTGTGGACTATCAAACGAAAGTTAGTAATACGGGTCGGAAACGGTTTCAGAGGATCCCCTTAACGTGACTTAACTTTTACTGTCGAATATAAGGGGGATACTAGCACTCTCGTCTGAGTAACAGTTTCTTAAGCTATTTCTGGTGTGGCTTCCATCCTACTGCCCGGTAGAGAACTGGACGCTCCTCCCCAAGTCAATTACTTCTCAAACTGAAGCCACCAGTCAGATTATGACACTATATAAGTTTCTACAATGTGCTGTTAACAAAGGAGTAGCATACATTCCGATATGATTCACAACTGTACCCGTTCAAATAGCAACTAGCATCTAGCGAAACAAGCAAGGATACAGTAGCCGGTCTGCTAATCACGCCTGCTTCTGGTGTCCAAGTTAGCCCTAAGTCTGGTTACAAGTCCTCGTACATGGCATAGTAATACTGGTATAATAGGTATATTTCTCTTTATGTGAGTATCCGCGTCCATACTTCTTACAGGTCATTGACCTACAGGTAATACCATGAACAGTGTGAAGTTATGGCGGATAAAAAAAATTAAAAACGATATATTCTTTGCTGGTGGGAAGCACAGTCCAACTGGCTAGTACGATCATTATGTATAATGGAATCGCATGGAGCTGATGTTTTTCCCGAATTTTTGCAGAGCACTTCTCTAACTACTTTTGGCGCACATGGCTAATTGATCGGGCGAATCTTTCGTTAGAGTTGAGAACTTGTCAAGAATACTAAATGTTGATGAATACATATGTACAAGCGAAGTAATGCGTCCGTTCATAGAGCTCCTCACCGGACCAATGGAATACGCAACACTGTCGAATCACTAAGGGACTATGCGGCTTCACATGCATTTTTCGGTTTCCAACTACTCATACTTAGTTTTGCCAAACTGCGCTTAAACAAGTTGAATCATTCTAACAGTCCCCTCTAATTCTTGGCTCTATGTCTAGTTACTAGACTGTTGAGATTACATACCCTCTAATTACCTTTCTCTCTCTTTCGATAGATAGGATGAGTCGCGGTAGACCGAGGCCATAGAGAGGGCTGTGGGTTTTTCTACTCGTAGCAATCGTCAACTATATCTGACCATCAGTTACAACTCATCTAGTGTTCATTCAAGTTACAGTACGGTGTGGTGTTGGCTCGTAACGATTATCTTCATTTGCACCATGCCAGCTGCATATGTCTGACTACAGTGGTCCTAGTTTTGACCAACATGTGCTGCTTGGATCCTTTACGGCGGCGTTCCTGTGCACCATGGATTGCGTTAAGAGTGGCTAATGTTGAGCAAATACTCGGGAATAGAGAGGTGCCGTCTACATTGTCCATGGCTTAGAGTGGAAAGCTGATCCTCTGATATCCGCTTCCATAGGAGCCTGGTCGCATATCCGAGGTGACTCGCATTCCCAACTGCAGGTGAGCTGCCGTCGAACATGAGTCATTCCTCGGATTGTTACGTGGTGCGCAGTTTGGCAGATTTGTTCGATTTAACCAACCGGCGTGTCTTTGAATGGATTTCAGCTCCCCTTGTTTCTTAGCGAAACCGCGACCCACCTGGCTGATTAGTATAAGTAACTAAGTGTGCATCAACTAAGTAATGAAGCATTTCGAACAGAAATTGCTGCTTATTTGAGTTTTTTAGCCTTCTCTGTGGTATGATATACTCATTTTTCCTCACCATATCCGCGTCATCCGTAACAGTGTTTACATCCTTGTCACTTCCCCGCAGGCATAAACTGGATGTCGTTTCTTGTGGACGGAAGACTGCGCTGGCTCAAAAAGCAATTCTCTCCGGTTTCTTCCGTAATGCGGCCAAAAAGGATCCTCAAGAAGGCTATCGGACGCTGGTTGATCAGCAAGTCGTTTACATCCACCCCTCATCTGCTCTATTCAATAGGCAGCCAGACTGGTGAGTCCGTGTTTTGTTTGTTCGGCTTGCCCTTTTTAAGAATGCATAGGTCGTATTCAGTGGACAGTGCATGTTCCACTTTACTTGAATGATACCGCGATTTGCGCTTTTGCCTCATTGTATTGTTTCGACATTAACGCTTCTTCTTTCTTCAACATGCCTGTGTCTTGGGCGATTCAGTCTCACACTTTCCCTCTGATCGACTGTGTTACAGGGTTGTCTACCATGAGTTGGTCATGACCACAAAGGAGTATATGCGAGAAGTCACCACAATCGACCCGCGTTGGTTGGTGGAATTCGCTCCGAATTTCTTCAAATTTGGCGATCCAACTAAGTTATCCAGAACCAAGAAGTCAATGCGGATCGAACCACTGTACAGTAAATTCGAAGAAAAAGATTCTTGGCGCATTTCCCGTGTCCCCCGAAAGTTCCACGTCAAAGTTACTTTCTGATTTCCTCATACCCAGCTTCAGTGCTAAACCGATGTTTTCCACTTCATCTTTATTATCACTGTGGTTTCTGTGATGCCAATGACATTCGCAAACTTCAAAACTCACATTTCTCAGAGCATTTGTTATTTACTTCATATCTTCCATGAGTGTAAGGCAGCAGCGATGTCTGCGTGGGCAGTTGGCCACCAAGTGACCTGCTCCCAAATGAACAGATAAACTGCCCTTAGTGTAATTTACGGTTCACTTGTTCACTGCTCTGCTCTTATCATGGGGCACTGTCCAACATACAGTTGCATCCAACCGTGGTTCATATCTCCATTCTCTCAACTTGCTCTCTTGATGTTAACTGAGTCGTAGCAAACAAATCCGACGCTTTTTCCTCATGTTGTCTCAGTTTGCAGCTCTCGTTTGTGCCAAAGCCACACGTGTGTCAGATTGCTTACGTTTTCAGCCGACTTCATCACACGCAAAAGCAGCACCGCCAAGCACGTGCCCAAGCAACCGTAGTCTATGTAGTAAAATTGTGTGCCTCCGATATCGGCAACATTTATCTAATTTGAAGACCAGTCGGTGAACGTCGTCATCATGATTTGTTTTCAACTACCATCGTACAACTACGGAAACCTCTAAACATCCTTTGCGCGAACGGGCAGTCATAGGGCAGGACTGCTCTTACCACAACGCCGTAGATTCCACCCCGTAGAGAGAGGTTTTGGTCTTGTCAGCGCCATTGATAACAGCAATCGTCAGAATGTAACTTGGTTATTATGAATGTGCAAATATACCTCATCCGTTAAACTCTAGACGCCAATACAATCCCCGAATCAGTGGAGTCCCTTCAAATGATAACACGGATAGAGGAGAACAGATCTGGGCCATTCCTGCAAGAAAACCTACTTCTATGAAGAGATAGACACCTCCAGTCTACGCACATTGTTTTGGGGTGCATGCGAATAATCACAAATTATGGTGATGCCATCAGCATACTCCAAATAGCGAACTTGCTTCCCAGTGGTCCACAACATGCTCCGGGATGTGTTTTTCAGGGCAGAGTTGAATGGGGACGATGATGTCGGTCTGGCTAGCTAAGCGAACATCGTTCAGCTCCCGCGTGTTGCTAAATGTTATTAGAAATAACCGCGTTTCTCCTGCGTGCGTAGGAGAGGAATTTCTTGAAAGACTTGTAATACTAACTGGGAGAATATTCAGTCCAAATGCGCAGCTTAGTTCACCCCAGCAGATTCAATCCTCTACTTGTTTCCCTTTTGACGATTATCTACTGGGTTCTGGGACTTTTAACATATCACGGCCATCGTCTTTTGATTGTTCAAGAACTGCACATTCTACAGTCCATTATGAGCGGAGATAAGTCTTTTGGAAGTGTTTACTTTGTTTTATGTGGAAGACCAGGGACAGCAGAACTGCCTGTGTGCAACGCCGCACTGTCTGTAGTGGCCAAGTGTGTCTGCTCAGCCAGTTACAGACACTGTGATAGCGGGCCGCGTAATTTGTGCTCTACTCTTCATATCTTTCCTCCCTTTATGAGATACGAGAGACCGTTTAACCGACCTTTCTTTACTGCAATTTGTCAAAAGTTGGGTACGTTTATCGTAGAACCGTGTAGCGTTTTATCTGGATAGTTTTAGTCGTTTGCCTGGTCTGGGATTTGGACTAGGTAGTAGGCAATCTGCAGCTCGATTTCAACGCTTTTCCCACAGGCCGGCGACCAGTTCATTTGGCTCGTCTGTCATTACAGAGAATGTTTTACAATTCTGCGTGTGGGTCTGAAAAATCTTAACTAACTCCAAGTATACATCACCAAACTACAAACCATTTGTAGGTAGAGTGTGTTTGCCGTTGCTCTATGTATTCACGTTATGTCCCTCAAAGCACTTGGCACAAAGTGAACATCTGATGTCTGCAATGAATTCTCTCATCTAGGTCTCTGATTTACAACTAATCTTGGATTTGCTTTACATGCGAGGTCCTGTCGACAAACTACGTTGTCCCAGTGCCCGATGGTTCGCATGCACTTTCGAGGTCACGTTCACGTAGTTGCCAGATCACAAATAGAAGGGAGTGTCTGACGAATACCGCTACCTACGTCAGTGAGCCAGCTTTATGTAATTATGCTTGGTTAGTTATTTGTAAACTTAATCATGAGCAGTCGATGCGCTCTTTCATGACAGAAGAGCGACTAGTTTCGGTTTATTCCGTTAATACGAACGCTGACGTCACACTGAACCTTAGCGTATTGGACAGGTGACCAAGAACCTATGATGATAGCTTGCTTACTGATGAGGAAAGAACCATTCCCATACATCAATCAGCGCACGTTTTTGAACCTCTGCTGTGGAGACTACTACCGTATCCTTGCTGTCCGAGGCCAACGTATTACCTCATTGCTATTAATCGGTGACATTGGAGCGACCAATGTTTGGATAACAATCATCATATTCCCCTGCAGTAGCATCGAAATCATTGTGACTATTGCTGATAGTGCTGCCCGAGAGCCAATAAGGGTACAATCTAATACAATAAGCATTTTTACAACCTCAGTCATCTGGAACGTAGTGGACAATGACAGAACATCAAACTGAACATTACAATGGAAATTTTTCCCTTCTGGGTGGTGCGCAATCAGATGGTAAAATATCCTCCCACACTTCAACATCCGTTATTCGTTCATGAAGTCAAACTCCCGTTTGTTCCGCATTGTCACTTCAAGAACTTGCGATTCCTCGTTCCACTGTGCCTTGCCAGAGTCCGGATCAACCGGATTTGGAAGGTGTAGTCCGAGTTTACTAAATTGATGGGATAAAAACAAGTTTCTCAGGAATTACTTACAATGGTCAGCATGTTAAGTAAGCGTATAGTGAATGAGCGCCAGCACATACGTCTAGTCAATTCTATACCGTGCAATGAACAATGATTTATCACGGGTTTAAAATCAAATGTATGATAAGTCCCGTAGAATGGTTGGAGTGAAAGCTACCAAAGTAGAAGACATGTGAATTAGCCTTCTAAGCGTCTACCGAGTGAACTGCCTGGCTGAATAACGATAGCGCAATATAAGAATTAAAAGTAAGCATACAGAACAACATGGGGAGCTGTGATAGTTGACGCTTTGTAGGAAGAAAGGAAAATTCAGATCGATCCCTCATGTACCGCTTCCCTGAATCCATGTGATACATAAGTCCGGTATGAGGACATGACTAAGAGACCTCACAACAGCACTGCTTAGTTAACCAAGTGCTGGGAGGAAAGAGCAACCTCCACTCGCTTTTTGCAATATCCGGACTAGAGGAGAAGACAACTGAGTTTGGGATAGCGTTCCACAATGTATGCATATATTAACGACAGTCTAACGGATAGACAAGCCCAATCATAACCATAGAAATCACTGAAAGAAGACAGGTTTAATCAGAGTATCATCATCATGGCACATTAGCTGAAGGTGTGCAAAACACTTCAGGTACTGTGCCGCAGAAAGAACGTCCTGTTATTGTTATTTTTCATGCACAATTTTGTCACTTTTTGTCTTTCTATATTGCTAAAATTAATCAGCAGGATCTAAACATGGTTTTACACAGATTTTGCACTGGTTTCGGTAGTGCGCAATATACTGAATTGTTTCCAGCCATCGGCACGGCTCGTCATTTGGTTTCCAACCGGGCAGACGTGTGGATCCAACGGCGGCAAGATGTGAAATCAAAGGTTTCATATGCTATCTCCATGTGGACGGCTGACCGCCGCGTGGTCCATAACAGTCAAATACTGCGCGAGCAGAAACAACTTAATGGGGCAAACGCCGGGCTGACATATGCAGGATGTGACCAAGGCATCTTAACTGACGTAATAAAACCAGCTGGTTGAAGCGAATACTCGCATTCCCTAAGACACGACTTATGACTTTATCGCTGCAGATACCTTGTTGCCCCCCGGACGAGCAATGCTCCTCAAGCACCCACTGTCGAAGGCCTAGAGCCATCGCATCTCATCCAAGCGAACTGGCCAAGACTCACTTTCGTATAGCAATCCCGCCCGAACGGTGACAGTCTAAACGCGACCGTTTATCAAGGGGGAGACATCCCGACGACGCCACAAATGTTTCAAGTTGACAAACGCCGACCGGGCTTTGGCGATGCGGGACGAAACATCCTTCTCTATAGCGTAACCAGCAGGCGCTCAGCTACTCAGGTAGACAAAGCTATCCATTTGTTCAAACTGTGTGCCTACAATAGCGAGCACGGGAACGGGCGAGTGTCAGTCACGGAGCAGAAGTAATGCGATGTTATCAGCATAATCTAAATTGATCGCTTACTGGCCCGGTGGTCGCTGCAGATCAAGGATTTGTCCAGCACTCTCGACAGGAGGTCTTCAATCGCCAAATTGAAGAGAAAGGGGTCGTATGGCAGCCCTGTCGTACACCGCTATTGGCAGCGAAAGACAACGAAAGCTTGCCATAGACCCTCACTCTGCCGGAGATGTGGAGGTAGAGTGCGCGTAGGATGGTAGTGTAATTTTCTGGGACCCCGTTCTTTAGCAAGCAACGCCATAACGCAGGTCGATCGACCGAACCGACTGCAGAACAAATGTCAGTGAATGCAACAGTGGTAGACCTTCGGTAGCGGTGGCGGTGTTCGAATGTTTAACAGAGCGTGAATATTTGGCCCACACACCCACGGCCAGGACGGAAACCAGCTTGTTATTCCTGGTACTGCGATTCGTGAACGACAGATAGTCTACGGATTAGAATGGATGCCAATAGCTTGGGGGCAACCGAAATGAGACTAATCTCCGGTGATTAACGCATACAGTGCGAGCACTCTACTTAAAACTCAGAAAAACAAACGATTGCCTCAGGAAGAAGACAGCTTTTATCATGTCAGGTTTTGGAGAACAATTAAGTTAGCTGCTTGATGATAACTGCGCCTTCATACCTGAACAACTCCGGGGAAAGTCTATCTGAACCGGCAGTTTTGAATGGTTTCAAGTATCGAATCCCAATGTGAACTTCGGCTTCTCTGGGCGGATCAAGTGTAGCGATCCAGGGCGGGCAGCTGGCTTCGTAGGGTATACTATTGGGTGGTGAGGGCCAACTGAAGTGGGAATATTCCCAGCCCACCGAACCAAGCGTTTCTGTAGATAAACAACACGCGAACCGTCAGCTTCGCAACTAGTCTCACTGACACCTGGCTTTCTGTGTTCAGTGAAACGAATGAGCTGGCAGAGCTTGCGATTATCGCCAGACTGGGCAACGGCCACCATTTCCGAAGCACTCTGAGACCACCAGACTTCGCGGTCACTGCGTAGGCTTTGTTTGATCTGCCGACTGACAGAACGACGCCCTTCATTATGATTAGGCCCCGTTTGGATATTTTTGCGTTGGTCAAATAGATCCAGGGAGTGCTTGGGGATCAAGGCCTACATAGAGTGCTGAGTAAGACCACAGACTAACTGCCCGGAAGAGATCATGGTCCTCTGCATGGACGTCCACTGTTCATCAATACCTTATGGTTGGTCGCACCTGAGTGCATTGAACAGAGCAGACAGATTGCTCTGCTGAACCGAGAAAGTAGATAGTCTATTTGTAACAACCTTACAATACTTCGGTTCCGGATACCTTCCAAAATGCGTATGTTGACACAGACAATAGTCTGAGTCAAAAAATATGGACCAGTTCGAGCTGTAATCTTTTACACTACCCCACCATCTGAGACTGGTTTCGATATGATCAATCTGAGACCATGATTAAGACGCAAAAGTGGATCGCCAAGTGGCGGAACCTCCTCTCGAATACCTGAAATCGGTGCTGGATAGAAACAAACGACTGTCTTCGCACAGTGGAAGAAGTCTCTTTCCATTATCTGAACTGCTTTCCTGGAGCGCACAGTAATCATAGAGCTGACTTTAGAATGATACTAGACACTCACTCCCTGCGTTGAGACAGCCAGCAATGACAACAATATCGGATTTACAAGCTCTGCGGAAGAGCTAGTGAAGTTCCCGGTAAAAATCGCCCTTAACTGAGTTGGACCTGCAGTCAGTTGGAACGTAAGATGAGATCGCAAACAAGCTGCCTCTCTCCTCACCTCATCGGTCGGTCCTGCATTATCCCCGAAGCAATGCACACAGTCCGCTATTAATCGGAAACAAGTCCAGCAGTGCAGCCACCGCTTCGCTGCTTAGCGCTACATCAACGCCAGACAAGCCTGTCTGGTATTAGCTGCAGACCAAAGTTTTGGCCACCTTCCAGAGTTCTCGACAAGACGTCTTCAACTGCCAAATTAAAGAGGGACGGGGACATAGGACAGCCTTATCGTACACCACTATTGACAGCGAAAGGCAACGAAAGCTCGCCATAGACCCTCACTCTGCCGGAGTTGTGGAGGTAGAGTGCGCGGAGGATGACAGTGTGCTTTTCTGGGCCCCCCTATTTTAGCCAGCAAACCCGAAGAGAAAAATAAATCCGTTGACATTCTGGGCAGATTTATTGGTACTTGGGTTTAGGCGGTTACCTCTGAGCTTGCTGTTGCGTCTTAGTTTCAGCAAATGCTGACATACTTGATTGATGGTCGCGTAATATTTGGTGCACTATTAGGAGATCGGCGCGTAGCCTTCGGAGTCGTCCGCTGAAAATCCCCAATAACTTCAGCCTTTGCTGCAAGAGAGATCACGTTGACCATTGGCATTCTTTGTTGCTCTGCTTTGTGATGTCCCCAGGGCCACGAGCTTGCGCTTTAATCACGGTTGCCAAATTCGGATCGCGTATTCAACAAGAAGGTTATGTAAGAGTTGTGTATTATCCGCAAGACTGTTGTGGCAAAACTCCTGAATGTCATTCGCACCAAGCCATCATACTGGTTGCTTTTTCTTGCAGCTGTCTCCGGCTGTTTTGTACGGTTCAGATCACCTGTGCGCGTCCGCCAAGGCTGCGTCCATAGGAAATGATCTGCAACGTGCGTGCCCCAATTTAAGAAGTACAGTCATGCTTAAAACGTAGTTGAACAACCTGAAATGTTTCCACATTAGTTGGTGGGATCTCCTGAACTGAACAGTTTGAAATCGCTTCAAGCTCACGCTAGATACGCTCTTCGTCGCCCGGCCCCCTGATCGCTCGCCACAACTTGATATCATCAGTGAAAATATGAAATTGGAAGCATTTTCCTCGCTAGACGGTTTATGAAAAACAGGGACAAGTGAGGTTCTGGCAAATATCTCTGTGACACACAGATCCCTATCTCACTTGTGTCGGACAGGGATTTCGGGACTACCACTTCCAACGGAAGGCATAGTGCTTATCCAAGCCAGGATTTGGTCGCCAATGCCATAATACAGAAGCATGTAGAGGAGAATTCGGTGGCCCAAACTATCATATTTCTTTTAGAAGTCAAGGTAAATGACATCGACTCCCGATCCACCATCAAGTGCTTCAGTCCAGCTACTGCGTACAGTTGGCAAATAAATATGATATGAGCGATTTTGGCGAAAGTCATGTTGCCATGGGGCTATTATGCCTTTTACTAGAGTATTACACCACCACTCCTTTCAGATCAATCCCTCCGAAGCAGCGAAATAAGGGTAAATTGATATCAGTATCAGCAACCAATGCTTAACCACGTCTCAGTTACCATAACAACATCCTACCCTTAGGCGTTAGTGCACAAACAGAATAGCTTTCTGTATGTAGGAGAGTGTTTAAGTCGTCCAATTCGGTTTTTCTATTAAGCCAACCGTTTGGCAATCAGCTGCTAATCGTTTTCTGGTAGGTTGTTGGTTTTTGTATTTCATCCGGCTTCAT